ATTATTATTTTACTTATTTACTATATATATATATATATATATATATATGAACCAGTAATCATGTTTTTGACAATTCTGCATGGATGGGATATTTTTATTGTTTTTATTTACTCACATTGATTTTGAATTTCATTTTGAAATTGTTATGTAATTGTTTGTCTATTTTTTATTTTTAATGTAGCCCTTTTAAAACTTTCTTTTAATTGCCATAAAGTGTGTATTACAGATATGACCATAATTTAGTATGCATATATAATTAATATTTAATAATACCAATTATAATGTATTTATTAATCTGTTTAATAACATTAACAAATATAATAGTTGTCTACCAAGCTTTGACAAATGTATGGATAATGTTATATATTCATTTTTCAAAGAAAAAAAACAACAACAAAAAACAATAGGCCTATACCGCATGTTCTCTAGACTCGTCACCATGGAAAAAAAGACACTAAAATGCATTCATGCGCAAATTAAATACTCTACCTTTTCTTGTGAAATTGATTTTATTATAATTACTATTAGTAGCCTATTATCTATAGGCTACTATAAAATCCTTAGCCTATTTGTTTATTCAACTATGTGTGGGTCTATGTAAAATTATGTCCGTTGATATGACTATTTGTATTATTGGTAAGAAAATCTATTTATGTATTTATTTATGTATTCAGACATATTATTAATTCTATAGTAGCCTATTAAAGGATGACATTCTCTAGGTTTTTAATTTCTCCACAACATGCACATTTTTATTATTAAATATGTATTAAATATATATCTCTCTTATTTCTAATGATAACTTATTTAGGCTACTCATTGCCACTGACACTTTCCAGCCAAGTATTTGTTTCTCTCGTCGGTACTTTTGCACACACTTCGTTTCACAGGTGGACGCATCAAGACCCGCCCTCTTCTGACTCTGATTGGCCCTGAACCAACAATGACAGCGAGTATTACCCAATCAAGGGTAGAATAGGACGAGTCTTCACAGAATGCGGGTGGCATGATTTGCATGGGATCATGCGTTCGGAAATACGGGACAAACCGCGTCCCGTATAGACCTTTCTCACAACTTCCGTATTTGTGACCGGAAATACGCAATTGTCGTGGTAATCTTCTTCCGCTCCATTCATAACAGATAGCGCCGAAGGCAACTAGTGAGAGTTGTTTCGTACCGATCTTTTTTGTTATTCCCAAAAGCAGCCATACCTGTCGTTTTCATTCCTTCCCTCGTCAGTTCCCTGTCGATGAAGTTCGACGGAAATGGATTCAGGCAATCTGGCGAGATGTTATTGATCCTGTGATCTTCTGTACTTCTCATGTCACCATTCACTAATAAGCCGTCATTGTTTATGTTTATTTTTTATGTTTTATGATTTGTGTATTTTGAAGTAACGTTAGTTCATGCTCAACTTTATTAAGATATTTGTATCCAGCGGAATAAGCACATAAAAATATACACCACAATATAAAACAAGATAAATAAGAACACACTACAGTGGGCTACATATACATTTAAAATATTAATATATACCATTCTGAGTATTTAACAATCTGAGTGTACAAGGAATAAATTAATATTTGTATAATTTTTCTTAATCTTTGATCGTTCTATCAACAGCAGTGCAAAAAAATCAGGATAACTGTTGAATAAAACTGACAGACTTCTTTCTGGTATTCACATCAAAATGTAGTTTATTGTAAATAATACTCCCTAAATATTAATAACTTTCCACACACTCCACCTTCTTACCTTTAATGAACGTATATTGGGAAGAATGAGCTTCAGTTCTAAAATCAATATCATATCTTTGGTCTTAGATAGGCCTACATCAGCTGCGGACAAGCATCACCACAGCATTTTACAAAGTCATCAACAACTAGACCATGACAAGTTTACATTTTTTCGAAGTTTTGAAGACTCTCTGATCAATTTTCTCCTCCCAGAGTAGGTTTTTCTGATGTGTTAACAGTTGACGGGAACTCCGTTTCCACAACGATTACGTATTTCCGGTTTTTGTGAAAAAGGTCTATTGATTCAAAACGGGACGCGCTGTTTACTTCACAAATACGGGACGATTCCGTATTTTAAGGGACGGGTGGCAAACCTTTCAGACTGCTTTGTCACAGCTTTGGTTTTACTTTCTCCAAAATAAACTAGGACACGTAGCCTACATGAGAAAGTGTGTTGGCAGTCAAAAAGAATACCGCATCATCCTTCTAACTATTCAGGTTTTGATTTTACTCAACTCTCCCTCTTGCCAACATATTTTGCCTATACATTAAAGGTTTACTTTGTAACATTTGTCCTCGCGGTTAAGAAACGAAACTGCATCTATTTTGTGGAAGAACGTTGTTTTTAGTTGTGCTTTGGCGCTGTGTGACAATGCAGAGTATGGTTCTTTCTCATTAATAAAACATTCACTACTAAGAGATATCCTGTTGAGATGGAAAACTAGAAGGATCTCAAAAAAACATTCCAGGACAGCACTGTAACAACCATAACCTTCACCCTTCACAATAAATAATGCTTTACAATGAAATCTGTAATTGATTTATTTGGATGGGACAATGCATTGATGAACGTACAATATAAAATTTAAGTGAATACGCCGGATTTAACACATTGCTAATCCCATTATTCCCATGTTAGAGAGCTACAGTACATATAATAAAATACCTTCAAATATCTTACTCGCCTGTTGAGTAATAAATCGCCATCTCCCCTTTTACAACATTTCAAATCCCTCAGTTCTCGCCATCTCCCTGAGAAGCCAAGCTAATGTGGATTCTGTTTTTATTACGAGCTCTGTGCGCAATTTCACAAGAAAACTATCCAGTCAGGTCTAAATAAAAACACGTATAGGCTTACCATAGAGAATTAGGGTAAGACAAAAACACGTACATGGGGTACCTTTTGGAAAAACATTAAAACTAAATGATAAGGTTCCTATCAGTGTTGCCAAATAGAATACTTGTAAATGTTCAGCCTTGCCACTTCCTGAAGTTCAGACACTTTTAGTCATGTCTTCTTGTCCATTTAGCCATTTGCAACATCCTCTTAGCTATTAGGCTATAAATTGAATTATTTCTGTGACAGCCAATGTCACAAGTGCAAATGTGTACAAATTACTCTATAAACAGCCATAAAGGTTCGCAATAAAGTATTAAAAATATGTGTCGCTATTTTCTATCTAGTAAACAGCATATTGACCAAGATACACAAACACTTCGCTTCTAATTGGCCTCAAAATGGAGTAGAGAGAAACTGACATGTGAGTCAGAGTTTGGACACGTGTTCAAATGTGACCCTTCTTCCAAAAAAGGTTGCCATGTGGACTTGAACTTACATATGAATAGTCAAGACAGGATGCATCACAGGCATCCTGCCAGGTAATAAAACAATATATAAATACAAAGTCTGACATTTGTCCACAATTGAGGGTTAAAACAAATGAATTAATTGATTTTTTTCTTCAGATTCTTATTTCACTGCAACAATGTGTATGCACCTAACATTGTTGTTTTTTACAAACACTCAAATGCGTTATATTTTGTTTGCACTTTTTGTGTCGATGAGATGTGTTGATTTACACAGACATGTTACATTCCACCATAGTGCCAGTCGCACCTACCTGTCTTCGGGACAGTGATGGGGTCACCGGCTTTTGCTAGCTGTTTTGGATTGTGCTTTGATGAAATTAGAGTGTGGAACAGCTGTTGACTGCCTGAGATCACCTTAAAAGGAAAGTAGGTTAGCCTACAATGTTTGTTGAGAACATCTTATCCCTCAAGATTCTTTAAATATATTTTAGAAACTATAAACTGTGAATTATTGGAAACTAGCAGCCTGCTATTTCATAACATCCGTCTGTGACGATTTAGGATGTTGGCCAGATGAGAGAAACAACTCTAGGAAGTGGATATCATCCTCAGCCCCTGAGATAAAAGTATTACTTTCCCCATATTGGCCGCATATGATTTTTGTTCTATTTCAAGTCAAATCAATCAAAAATAAGAAACTGCACATGTTTCTTTTCAAACTGTTTGTGCTGCTAATTGGCTTTACGCACAGCTGCACACTACTTCCTGAACTTAAGCCAGCTCCTTGTTTCCTGTCTGCCATTATTGGCCAAGCTTGATTGATTCAGGTGTGTCTGATTGTTGTTGCCGTGACTACTGAGGTCAGGCACACCTGAATTAATCAATTTGGAGCTCTGTGTAGGCTACTTCTTTTCTTTTGCTTTAGTTCAAGGTCATTGGCTTTTATACGGCAGTTTAACAAATAAGTTAAAATCGAGTAACTTACGTTTTGTTACAGCTATATTATGGCCAGTCTCTTTTTGCTTCGTTAACCATGTGACTCTGACAAAATACACAATGGTATTTTGTTCCTTCCTTCATGATTCAGTGTTTTTGAACACATTAAGTAAAAGATTCAATGAAGAGACTGTTGGTAACAAATCTGAATGATTAAAATTAGTCTTTCATATCGTTCTGACGAAACCATGCATTTATTATGTCTATGGACGAAAAGATCTGTGTAAGAGTCAATCCCCACCAGACTGACCATAGTTTTCAACGCGCCAACAATACAAATATAATAAGTAAATATAAAAACATACATTTATCTATTTTTATTTATTCATCTATGTGAGTTGATGATATTATATGGTAGGGGGTGCCCATTCACATATAAAATTAGATATATTATTAATATATAGGCCTGCTGTAAATTACAGTAATTAAAATCAGCTTTTAAAAAATTGTTATTTAATAGTATTCAATAGTCATTTATCAAAATACATATTCATTGTGCAAATATTTTGCATTTAAAAACTAATAAACAATATCAGCATTTGCCTTTACAAAAGCTGTGTGCAAAGACTACTCTGATTGGTGTTTTTCCTGTAAGCAAAATTATATCAAATCAAATGAAAATGATCCACTTCATCAGATGCCAAAAGCATTCAGTAGCATAAATATAAAGTGTATAGCGGTAATTGGAAAAATTCCTCTTTTTATTTCTAAATAATAATTGATCTTTATTGTGAAGACCAAGACAATCCATACAGAAAGACACTGTATTACTTTGGAGTTAGAATGACATTAATTGAATCCAGTGCGCATACTCAATTGTTTTTATTGCATTTGTCCTTTGAAGCCCAGATTGTTAATTGTGCTTTACTTTCTTCACATTTTCATCCAGCAGTAGAAACTCAAGAACACATCAGTCTCTACCAATCTGCTCCACTTGATCTTGTTCTTCAGATCCCTCTGGTTCCACATCTTTTCCATTGTCACTGCATAAGGATACGAGGTTCAATGTTAAATAGTAGATCATCATTACCACGCCGAACTTCCAGAAGGAGGGGCGTGTCTTCCTGAATCGCCTCCTGTAGTTCTCCAGTGTTGACCAATGGATGGCCGTTTAGCTTCACTATAATATCACCTGTTTCAAGCCCACCCCTGTGAAGAGGAACCAATGAAGAACGTCACGTGATTAGTTTGGGATAAATAAAAATGCAGTTGATTGATGTTGCAACAACATGTACCTTGTGCTTAATATAAACTCAAAAGTTTATAAAACTAATTTTGAAACGAATCTGGGGTGAAAATAAATATAGTTTGGCTTCAGGCCAATTTACACTGCACCGACAGACGCAGATCAACGCCGACAGTCACCAGATTACAGCACATCACAAAAAACTACGAAGTCTCTGTTGGTGTGGTGTGAATTGGCCCTTAGACATACTTCTGAGCTGGGGAATCCGGGACAACTTCATGGACAAGAATTCCTTTGCCGATACCTGGAAAGTCTGGATTGTGCCATTTTAACTCCTGGGCAATGCTGAGGAAAATAAAAAGAGAAATATAAGAAAACAGATGAGATCTGAGGGAAATGGGATGCAGAAAGACATTTCTCCTTTCAGAAAGCTTACTGATTATACTTGACTCTAATAAATGAGAAGGATTCTGTTTTTTTTTTTTTTTATAAAGCAATGTTCTTGATTGACATAACATACTTTTCTGTTAAAGTGACCATTTTGATTCCAATAAACCTTTTCTTGGGGCCTTTTATATCTGAAAGAGAAAAGTTTTAGATATTTGTACAATTTCAAAGTGAATTCAAGTCATGCCTGAAAGATAGTTTTTACGAGTTAAAAGCGCATGAATTGCACCACAAAGTAAATATGATTGGGAAATTCAGGATTTTCTTATATAGCCCTGAGTTTCTGAGTTGTGGGTACGTCAGTGAGAAAACTCACTGAATGTCTCAGCAAAAACTCAGCGAATGTCTGGGATGCAGGGTCTGGGTCTATTGACAGTAAATTTGTGGAAATTATTGAATTTTTTTTTTTTTCAATTTACAATAAAACTTAGGGATGCACCGATATGAACATTTTGGCCGATACCGATAACCGATAATTCTTTATATTTGAAAGCCGATAACCGATATATCGGCCGATAAACCTAAATCCAATTTTTATATAATTCTTTAAAGCCTGATTGCAAAAACAAAAGTTTCACAATTAAAATCCGTCCCCTAACACAATTATAATGTTCTCATTATAATTTCATGTAGCCGATATGACAGCACATTTTGCACTTAATTATATTAAGATCAATCATGTTGAACAGTGCGCATCTTAAGTGTCTTAAGTCTCAAGTGTTGAAGGAAATAATTCATTATTTATCAGCTTTAATATATCAGCCAAATTTTATAATCGGGCCGATAACGATAACATAAAAATGAGCAAATATCGGCCGATACCGATATGGTGGCTGATATATCGTGCACCCCTAATAAAACTATAATTGCATGTAGAATTAGTACATTGGTAAACATTCCCAACTCATAAATACAAACTTCCCAGGAGGACTTGAGAGCACCATCAGATAACTATAGTACCCCATAGTGAGTGTTATTCACAAACATGAGTTTAGCACTGCACAAAATTGAACTGAACAAAATAATGACTGCATGCCTTTTTGTTTTGTAGCGATTTTCATTAAACACGGAAGCAAATAGTTCTATTGACTTGCAGTTAGCTAGTAGCAGGTTACTGGGACAAATTCATGCATAGCAGTTTTACAGTATAACAGGATAAACAGTTAACAACCTGATTCAGCATTGTGGCCTAAACATCAATGCTGCACCTTTACCTCCTCTCACGAAGTAATTTAATGGCATGATGGACCAGTTCAATTACAGTTGATTCTGCTATAGCTTGCATGTTTGAAGTCATCAGGCCAGCAAGATGACTAGCAGCTAGCTAGCAAAGTGACATTTGCTAGCAATTACCTCACCTGAGGCAGTCTTCACAGCTTGAGACTGCGTGAAGTTTGTCCTGACTACTCTTTGTTTGACTGAAATCAAAGTAAATGACACCAATGATGTAAGTGTATTCATGTTTTGTAGTCATTTTGTTACAGTTGGAAGAACACAAACGTCTAATTAATCCATAGAATTGAATGAAAATAAACATCCATTTGTATTTCAGATTTCTGTGGGCTAAAATGTCTGTTGATGGATTCATATTTGGAATTACCGAACTAATGTCATCACCCATCACCATGATGCTTACCTTTCTGCTGTTTATCATTGGATTCATCAAGGAACTTATTGATTCGGTCGGATGGAATGGCAAATGAAATTCCTGCAGTAACTTTTAGTGTGTTTATTCCGATCACCTCACCATCCTAACATGACAGAAATATGTAAAAAGCAGTGTAACCAGTGTCCTCTCAATCTAGATGTAAAACTTAATTCCCACTCACCAGATTGACAAGTGGACCTCCTGAGTTTCCATACTTCCCATTGATGATGAAAGAGAGAGGAATAGACAATCAAATTCAGCTAAAACATCTATCATTCAGTTGTTGTAGCCTGAAAACACCATTCTTGTTTGTCTTACATTGATGATAGCATCGGTCTGGATGTAGTCCATGTCAGAGTCGTGGATGCCGAGCTCTTTTCCATCTCTCTGTGTTGTGCTGACGATGCCTGTTGTGACTGTGTTCTGAAGAGCGAATGGACTGCCAATTGCAACCACAAACTCACCAGGCCTCAGGTCAGCAGACTGACCCAGTGATAACACTGGTAATTTTTTCTGGAGATAAACAGAACAATTCATGCAAATTAAATCAACTTCAGTCCAGTCAAAAACAAAGCTTCACCCAGGAATGTAACGCCACTACATTACTCAGTATTAACTTATTTTTATTCCATTATTGTATAACACACTTGCAATCATCCTGTTAGTCTAAAAGGCAGCAAGGCTGTGATAAAGTGCAGCCTCATTCCTTTGGCCGAATCACAGCTATCCCAGCCAGCATGTGATTGACATTCAGTGTTGAAATAAATGTTATTTCCTCAAGTAAAGATGTGCTACTTACATTTTTTTTATACACTTACTCAGAACAACAGCTGGGAAGGTGAAATGAACAACAACGCTAATGATAATGTAATATTGCTCAATTGATAACACTACCTGAACAAACTGGTCTGATTGGAGTCCGTGCAAAAACATTTAAACAGTCTATCCTTAAAGGGATGCTCCACTTTTTTTGGAAATAGGCTCATTTTACCACTCCCCCAGAGTAAAACAGTTGGGTTTTACCGTTTTCAAATCCATTCAGCCGATTTTCTGATATTTAGAAGAATATCAGTAATCAGACAGTTTCTGGTCACATTGACTTCCATAGTATACTACTATGGAAGTCAATGGAACCAGAAACTGCCTGATTACTGTCTGATTAAATTGGCTGAATGGATTCGAAAACGGTAAAACCCAACTGTTTAACTCTGGTAAAATGAGCCTATTTCCAAAAAAAAGTGGAGTATCTCTTTAAGACCAAATATATATATATGAAGAGTTCAGATGCAAAAGCCTCTAAATGCCATTTGAAATTTTCTTCTTTAATGATGATTTTTATCAAACGTGTATATTTAAGTTCAGTTATTTCACTTAAATGGCAATGATAATTACCTATTAATTGTTATTTAAGTGAAATTACTGAACTTAAATATGCAAGTTTGATAAAAATCATCATTAAAGAAGAAAATTTCAAATGGCATTTAGAGGCTTTTGCATCTGAACTCTTCATATATATATATATATATATATATATAAACAATGTGAGAAATTGTGTGGAAAAATTCTAAGGCTGCAGAGCAAGAGATGGGGAAATGACATCAACTACTATAAACAGAAACAAAATATCTGCAAGCATTCAAGACTATCTGACATGGGAACAATCTTCTTTTTTTTGTTGTTTCGAAAGCTATGTCTACTCTGAACAGTTTCTTGTTGATAGTCTAATTCAAAAAAGGCCAAAAGAAAAGGACTAGATGCTTTACATCTCCATAATCAGATCCATATGCATTGGGAAACAAACCACCTCTTGCAACACAACACAACATCTCCTAAATTCACACACACAAATGTAGGTCAGCATGTGCTTAAAATAAGGCTACAGTTAATATGTCCAAGTGTCTGGATGAGGTGGAATGCGTGACATAAACCATCTGCCTCTAGAGTCATAAACATGGGATTTAAGAGTCAGAGGTTTTGCCATTTTTGGATGATTTGTGCTGAGTTTTTATACTTTGAATGTTTATGAAAGACGAACTCTTGACTACTGGCTAATAGGCTTAGTGTTGAGAAACTCCACTGTAAAGACAAATGTGGTGACACTAATAGCAAGAAAGGTTGAGGATTAAACTTTTTCAGCCTCAAGGTCTTGTTCCACAAAAGGAAATAATAGAGACAAAAGAAACATACTATATAAATATAAAAAAAATGAGGGGGAAACACTAGAAATAATGGTTCTATCATTCTAATGTCACTTATCTGTCACCCCCTTTTTTGAGCATAGATGTGGAAATGCACTAGCCAAACTTAAATGGTTGTACATAACTAAGGTTTATCTCTTTTTAAAGAAGACACTCAGCAGGTTATTGCACTGTAAATCAAATGTACTGAACCTGTTTTTTATTTATTTAATTTGATTTAAATGTTACTCTAAAACTGCAACAGCAAAAAAGTCCATAATAACCAAAGTTGTGTTCCAAATTTGAAGTTGATATCACAAAAATTGGTTAGGCACTGTACCAAAAATACCCACCTGGTGGGACCCACACTCCATTGATTTTTTTTTAATGTTTTCTCCTATAGCAAATTACTAACTTTCTGTCACAATACAACTTCTATCACAAAACAGTCACCAAATATGGTAGGTAAAGGGTTAGTAAAGTAAAGTAGTTACAGGGTTAGCCACAAATTAAAATCCTGTCATTAATTACTCACCCTTATGTCGTGAATGATTAATGACGCAATTTTTATTCTTGGGTGAACTAACCCTTTAAAATAAATTTTGTTAAATGAACATCCGCTAAAGGATTTTAAAGTACCATTTCCATGGTGATCCACTGTCCGATTTCAATTGGTTTTCACGTGATGATTTTTCAGTTTTTCAGCTTTCAATGATAGACTAATATATGATTATTGCTAAAATGTGTTATAGGAAAACAAGGCAATAAAAAAGAGAGGTAAACTGACAGTTATGGACAATTAATGCTTGCGAAATGATTCCCACCTTTGGATTAATTTTGATAGTGGCAATGTCAGACTTCTTGTCGATGTCTCTGATGGAGGCGTCATACGTCTGGCCATCGTGTAGCTGCACTCGTAGATGCTGGCGGCCCGTTACTGTTGCACTACTAGTAAATACTACATGAGCATTGGTCACAATCAGACCTGCCTGAGTCATTATGAATCCAGAACCGCTTGACAAAGGTACATGGCGGCCAAAGAGCGGATGGCTGGACACAAACATTGAAAACAGTGGTTATCGCATGACTTAAAGGGTGAAAATATTACAATTCTAGTATTGCTTGAAAATGAAAGTTAATATAACAATACAACTTGCTAAATGCATAATAGTTTGATGTAAACTGACAGTAATATTGCACTTGCACTGACATTACATGACTATGATTACAACAGAATTTAACAAAATGATACCAAACTGTTGACTATCAGTGAGGATAAATGAGTAGATTACTACAGTATTGAATTATATATATATATATATATATATATATATAAACTCCCTTCTCTTGAGAGTCTTCAATCGAGTGCAAAAATGACAAATAAATATAGCTGTCACCAGTAAAAACATTACCAAAACATCATCTTTTACAGTTATAGGTATAAAGAAGAGTATAATTTACTTGAGGAAGAGCTCGACGTGTACCACAGCAGGGGCAATCTTCTCCACAACATCAGCGATGAAGTTAAACTTATACCTTGGGCTGTTCAGATGTGCAGGACCTATACTAGCAGGAAGAATCATTCACGTCAATGACATAATATGCGAGATATGAAGACCAATGACTAATAAGCAATACTTAACAGTTAGTTTTTTTGGTAGCCGCTATCCAGCAGAGTTTCCTCTGAATACTGTATATGCCCATATCTATGAAATACAAACATATTTAGGCTTCATTAACTTAATCTCCCAATTTCAGCAGCCTCCAATGTGCTGCAGAACTACATCTTAGATTTCACAACTTGTTCCTGCATTAACTTCTTTGTTGATCCTGGAACAACATTCCAAACAACTAATCAGATTTGAGGGACAATTTTATGTCAAGTTTAGACTTACAACCAGGGTTAGGTGCTTCTGCTTCTTAAAGGGATACTCCACTTTTTTTCTTCTTTTTTGGAAATAGGCTCATTTTACCACTCCCCCAGAGTTAAACAGTTGAGTTTTACCGTTTTCGAGCATATTCAGTCGATTTTTTGATATTTAGAAGAATATCAGTAAACAGACAGTTTCTGGTCTCATTGATTTCCATATTATATTTTTTTCCTACTATGGAAGTCAATGAGACCAGTCTAACTGATAGTCTTCTAAATATCAGAAAATTGGCTGAATGGATTCGAAAATGGTAAAACTCGACTTTCTAACTCTGGGGGAGTGGTAAAATGAGCCTATTTCCCAAAAAAAAAAAAGTGGAGTATCCCTTTAAGGAATAGGTTGTGGGTTGGGTAAAGATAGGATTATGGCATTTTTTTTTTTAGACAGAATGTTGATCTAAGAATGTCTTGGCAAAAATCTCATTGACCAAATGTTCTATAGATATGTCCCATAGAGCACATAACAGAATACGTAGATATAGGACATCCATTGTAATAATTTGGATCATTGTTCATCTGTGACTAGGTGTGTCACATTTAACTTCCCTCACATTATGTGGGCTGGGCACAGATGGTTTTCTGTTTCTTTATACGGAAGCGCATTTGATTCGTGCTTCAGTATCAAGGGGTTAAAAGCGGGAAAGATGGTGTTGTTTATGTTCACACTGGCTCTTAGTGAAATAACTACAGGCCACACTGGAATAGTAAGTGGAAAGAACTAAGAGCTGTTCTACATCTCACTGACTCTACATCTCACTAAACATCCAAAATCACACTGGTGTTTCTACTTAGTAGGCATTCCAAGACGTCTCAATCAGACAAAATCAGACATCACACAGGAAGCCAAAATTAGTGGAGATATAGCAACAGTCCTAGATGACTGAGTATTAGCCTATGCTTCTCTCTCTCTCCCTCTCTCTCTCTCTCTCTCTCTCTCTCTCTCACTCACTCACTCACACAGACACACACAATCACACTTGCACTGTTATTTTTTTTCTCCCCCCAGTCAATACAACAGTGGTCTTATTCATATGGATGAAGCACCAGTAAAAATGTTCAGTTACTGACGCCATTGTGGAAGTATTTGTATTTCACCCGTTGTAGTATATTATCCCACATTAAAAAATGTCCAATAACAAGGGTGTTTCTACTATTCATAAATTATGGAAAAGGGGTAGCTACTATTCAGCTTATATAATCTCAATACATTAGGCTTTTCATATACCAATGCACTGGAGTATTCCTTTAATGTGAGTATACATTAAACATATTTGCCAAACCTTTGGAAACTATTGCAACTGTAAGACATACAGTCAAATACATTTATGAAATTCAAGCAGCCGTTTAACTGACACTAGACTTAGGCCTATAATAGACAAATAGCACGAGTAGGTGCTATATGCGCAAAGGCAATAGCGCTGATAGTCAACAAAATAGTAGTAAACATAATTAGTTACTATTCCAGACACACTGAACAGAACCAATAGGCTCTAACTGATCAGAAACAGAAAAATCAAGAAGAACAATAAGTAGTTAAACTTATCAGTGACTGACCTGAGCTTGATGATGCGCATGAACCCTTGTGCGTTTGGGTAATCACGGAGAGCCCTCGCTGTTGAGCTTTACGCGCGGCTGCCCTCATCTTGCACACATTACCGTAGGTCTTTCCATCGCTGCCACACACTCTATGAGTTGTCTTACACTGGCAAACGCCTTGTGAAAGTCGCTTACCGGCTGGAAATTTACATTCTAGCCCGTCGCCACACGGAGCATCATCCTTCCGACCGCACGATGTGCCCTCGCCCAGGCTGCAAACAAGACAGCAGTTGCAGTGGTCGGGCACATACCCGCTCGGACAGCTCGGGCTCGGACATTTACTCACATCACACCTGGATGAACATTTTGTCCTCGGCTCGGCCACGGCGAGGTCCTGCGCAAAGAGCATTGTTGCTGCAAACAGAATGACCAGCATTCCCTTGTCAGTTTTCATGTAAACTTGGAGAGAAATCAGTCAGTGTAGTCTGTTCTGTTAGTTTAGTTTAGTTTAACTCTTTATGATATTCACTCGTGGCCTATGATGTCCAAAATACAGCAATGAGCTCCTCTGAATTTTCCGAGAACGCCACACGATGAGTTTCTGGTGCTCATTCTCATGTTCCTTGTGATATGCCGTTAAAAAAAAAAAAAAAAAAACAGTGCTGGATAAATCTGTCAGATTTCCCGTTCATGTGTGGCCACACACACTCCCTCCACTTCACTGCTTTTGTATATCACTTAAATAGGCAGGACAGTGTCATTACTAAACAATGCATTAAAGAGCGAATATGATCACATTCTGTGGAAATATCTATATTTCAAGAAGTGGATGTAAAATGCTTTCAAGCTTACTAGCTATTAAAAAGAAGAAAATATCATTTATAAAAAATAAAAATGAACAAACTCCCCAACGTAATAGAATAATAAACGTATGGAACAAAATGTATTTAACTCTACAGTATTACTGCTGTTTTCTTTCCTGTAATAGCCTATATTTCACAGTTTTACAACATGTCCGAGAGTTTCTCTCAAGGTCACCGCTTTCTTCTTATTGCTATCATGCCACCTTGTGGCGTATGCAGATAAATGCTAAACTTTTTGCATTCTTATCACCAGTGGAAGTTACTTTACTTTAAAAGTAATAAATTACAACATTGCATTACTCCCAAAAAGTAACTAATTGTGTTACTTGGTAGAAAAGCAATACGTTATGTTACTTTTGCATAACTTTGTCTTGTTCTCACCTGGGCTGGGATTGCTTATTAGATTTTTGATAACAAATAAAAAAAAAATTCTATTTTTGGAAATGTAAAGGTTCTTTCACACCAAAAGTAAAATGAATAAGCCTCAACCTGAAGGAAGTGTCATGCCCATACAGTAGAGTGACCATATTTTGATTACCGAAAACCAGGAGGACACTCGGCCCGGCAAACAGATACTCAAATGATACTCGAAGTTTACTCACAAAGATGCCTTATTAATTTCAATATATTTAAAGTAGGCCATGCCTCTATGGATAGAAAATGCTTATATTACAAGACACAAAGTCCAGTTGCCTTTCCTCCAACAGCCACATGGGGTGTAAATGAATCTTGTGTTCCTGCTTCAATTCCAGATTTCAATAGCCTGACAATTCAAAACCCAGACAATTTCCGGCAAATTTAGATTTGCTCTGCAAGTTAAAAACTGAGATGGTCTGGTTTTAACCAGGCTAAGATTAAGGATCCAAGTAGGAAATGTAAACTTTTAAAATTATGAATAAATGATGAGACAATTGCATTTTTCTTCCTGTTTATTGAATTATAAAAACTTTGCTGTTAAATTAAATTGTGTAATACAGTCACAGTTACAGTCAGACACACATGTATGAGTCAGCACAAAGAGCAGCAAGAACAAGTGAAGATTCAGTTGTCAGAGACTACACAAACTATTTATTTTAACCAACTAGTCTTTTAGCTCCATTAAGCGGTTTTTGAAATCTCCAGGTTTAGAATAAAGTCATTTAGTCTAGCGGTTACACTTGAGGAAGGTTCCCTGCCGGAGGAATCCCTTCATGAATTGTCCCTTTGCATAATAGCCAACATAAATCTTCACAAGTTGCCATGATGGCAAAAAGTTTGATTTTCCCTCTTTCGGACCACAGCCTTGTGATTCTCAAAGGATACTTGTCGCTGTCAGTGGAAATACTGAAATAAATCACACCACTCTGTCTTGTGTGTTTATCTGTCAGTTGCAGATGCAGCCCCATTTCTTCTTGGTGTCCTCCTGTGCTATTGTGACTTTTGCTGGGGTTTTGAAGCTCTCAGATCTGCACCTTAGCACACATTCGTTCACACTCTGGCTTCTCTGGCTCTTCAGACTCTTTGCCAATGTCACAAAGATGCTCTCCACCTGGTCCCCTTTGTGACCTTTGGCTGAAGTAAGATAAAAAGACATTCCGTGGACTTCGGCCAAATGACGAGCCTGCTCGACTACCACAGATGTAATCGGAGTGACCAGATCGGCCTTGTTGCAAACAAGGGCCCGGGGAATATCTGGACCAAGAGAGTGCTGACGGCACTCGTCCATCCACAGAGGCAGATTGCGGAAACTAATGTGGTTAGTGACATCAAACACGAAGACGATCCCGTGCACATTGCGATAGTAGTGCTGCACCATGCTTTTACGAAAACGTTCCTGACCAGCAGTGTCCCACAGCTGTACCTGAAGCGAGATGGAAAAGGACAAGATTTATATTTTTGTTCACATATTATAGCATGTTACGCATTTTTACTCATGACTTAATCTTGGCATTGCTGCAGACATTGAAAATTGAAACTTGATTCTCCATTGGGTTATATTTGCCTGACCTGATGGTAGGCTGTTTATAAAGTTCATTCGGTTTTATTTAATGGCCTACCCACATAAAGTGCTTGAATTAGACAAAAAAGTGCCTTGGTTGAAATAGGGGTAGTATGGTAGTAATAAAAATGTTCATCTTTAAAAGCAATTGTTGTTTAATGTTTGTGGTGTAGGACTAAACGCGTCTCTTCTCAAAAGTGAAGTTCAATTCCTCATTTCAAAGCTAATTAAGATCCAGCAACACCATAAAATCCAGTGTTCAGCTGTTTCTCCATGGCATGCACAAGCAAAAATAAATCTACCACTTATTTATAGTAGTAGCCTAAAGAATTTACGTCTTGGCTATTGAATCCGATAAACAGATCTGGTAAATCAAATTAATCAGTAGCCTACACAAATAATTACAAATAGCCTATTTGATATACAAAACTCTTTGAGGAACTCTAAAAACTACTGCATGATGTGTGACTGTTAAGGTGTAAAACATTTAAGCTTAATAGGCTATTCGTTGTTTTTTTAACCCTAATTATCGATAACCTTAGGCCTATAGTTCATTAGGCTATGTCTTGTGTATTTTTATTGTTACATTAAAAAAATGTTTTGAGTCGGATATCTTTTCCCTGAAATCAGTTTCAAAACCGATAGGCTGTTCAATAATAGCCTATACTGTAGCTTACGGAACATTCGATTTAGTTAAAACGTGTGTGAAAACTTAATTTAGCGAGCCGACCATAACAAATTAAAAATAATGATTCAACGTAGGTAAAGTGATTATTGAGTGTGATACAAAATTACATTTAGGCTAGCTAAAATCACCAAAAGATGTTGAGATTGCGCAATACAGGCTGCATGACGTGAAAAATCGTCATTACTCGCAAAGATGTGTTTTATCGCGTTTTTGCGAATGGCAATGCAATGCCTAAATTATTTTTATGCATCCAGGCAACATTTTGTAATCTATGGAAGCTTGTTTCCGCCATAGAATGAAAAATAAATAAAAAAAGGTAATTGTGTCTTTTTCCTCATAATTTCGAATTGTGAGATAAAAAGTCACACTTCTGTCTTTTTTTTTTCTCTCAGAATTGCGACTTTATATCACGCAATTCTGACTTCATATCTCGCAATTGTGAGATAAAAGTCGCAATTATTTATTTTTTTATTCAGTGGTGGAAACAAGCTTTCATAGTAATCTGCTCCAAAACAAACGTGCTATAAAATAAATCGAAAATGCAGTAGTCTACAACTGAAATAATTTAATTCTTACTTTGACTTTCTCGCCTTCTACATCAAGAAGTTTCTCACGAAAGTCCACCCCGATTGTCGCCTCCGTTCTGCTGGGAAACTGTCCGGTGCAGAAGCGGTGTGTCAAACAGGTCTTACCGACTCCGGCATCTCCGATCACAATGATCTTACAAGTACGACGGCAACGCACCGGGACACCGTTCGACGAGCTGGAGCTCTCCAAGGAAGAATCCATTTACTGTTCCAGTGGCGAAAAATAAACCTCAGTTGGATGTTAAAAGGAAGCTAAAAGTTCAGAGTGCGCCAGTGAACACTCCTCACATGTGCATGACTGATGATTACAGATTACTTCCCCTTAAAATTAAAGAGAAACTTGGACTCGTTTTCTAAGCCCCATTACACAATACATCAAAGCAAGTAATTAAAGACAATCCTGCCTTTTTGCAATATAATACATATGATTATTCCTTTTTATTCGTGAATGTAATTACCGGTATGCATAAAAAGGGTAAGAACCTTTGTTAAAAGGGAAGTCTGACAACCAGCTTGGACAGAAACCAAAAACAGCCCACAGTTATTTCAGATCCCTTTCACATACCTTGCTTAAAACGCATCTAGTGAGTTTTTATTTTTATTTATTTATTTTTTGTGACAAAGTATACTTCAGGTGTTTTGGCCAAAACATGTTAAATAATACTTTGAAAAGTTTTAAAGACCCGGGCTGGTGCCAAATGTGTGCTCTTACCTTTAGATTTTTTTTTAATGGAAAAAAAAATCTATATCATACAACAAACACTTCTTTGAACACTGTAACCCAATTGGATCAGCCAGAGTGATTAAATGAGGTAAGCTGGAACAGAGAGCAGGGGAAAAGGGATTGATAAAGTTTACTGTCATCGTCAAGCCATTTTTTTTCCATAGATGCCTCCAAGAAATGCAATAAGGAACATCTACACATGTTGCTTCCCCATTATGACATCACTTCCTGTCCACCCAGCCTTCCCCCAAAACCATGTCCAAGTTCAGACAATTCAGCCACCTTTTCACACCAGATCTTTTGCACAAAAAGCCAGTATCCGTTTTAAGCTTTTATTTTTCATATAAATAACTCTTTAAAACAGGGGAAAGATGGGTTTGAGTGCGTTTCTCTTGCTTGGTTTGTTGACTATGGGATTTGCTCTCGCCATTGCACAAAGTTTGCATTCAGACATACTGTATTTCAAAATGGGATGCATGTTTGACTAGTTTCCAGTTAGAGACTAGTCATCAGCAAGGTTAAAAAAGTAAAATGGGCATTTTATTCTCGTCTCTCCCTCCACACCCCTCCTCTTCTTCCTCCACTCCAAAACACAGTCATTGTCTGTCAGTCCTAACTGCAATTTCTGGGGGTGTAGAAGATCGCAGGAAGTTCCTCATAGAACCGCAATAGTCAATGGCAACCTTCTTGGGTGTTCGACAGTGGCGGTGCACCGCTTCCCATTCCTCCATCTCCTCCCTCAGTCCTTCAACCTCTTCGGATGTTCACATATCATTGGCCAGCTCCTCAGTTTCCGTGGAGACGTCTCCATTGACCGCAATCTTCATGTTTTCCTCATAGCCTGGAGGCATGAAGGCCAGCGTATAGGGGTAGATCTTATGACACTCCGCTCGGTATAACTCGGCCGTTTCTTTAGCCTCTCCGAGGCTGCCATCACGCAGGCTTTCCAAAACATCTGTACAGATCTGCAAGAAAATAAAAGTAGTATGGTTATAATATAGGGTCGGTTTACACCTAGTCACTACATGCGTTTTTACTGGTCGGATAGTTATCTGATTTGTTAAAACGGTTCCATTTACACTCGGCCACATAAATGGGTCTCCGGATATAAATCGGATATAAATCCGATCACAAATTTAACTGAGTTCACGACGTCAATGGAAGCAACAGATACAAGTTGCATTTTATATATCATCAGCTAATTTCCGCAATAGGAGAGAAAGCGGCATCAGCACTGGTAAGATCATTCAGTCACACTACTTTTAAATGAAGTTGATTGTGTTTTGAGCATCTGCAACTTACTTTCAGTTTCATATGTGGCAGTTTGCACGTCAGCTTGCTGAAGAGAAACTCAGCTGCTCGTCTGCGGCAAAGCGTGTTGCAGTAGAGCTGTCATATCTGGCTATAACATGCTCTCACATGTTTATTTTTGAACATTCTGGGAGTAAAATTTATGTGGTTTCATCAACCAGATGCATTTACACAGTTCATAGACTAGTCCAGTTTCATTTGGAATGACTCTCAAACCAGCTTCTGAAGTGGTTTGAGGGATCGGATTTAAACCCGAAAGCGCTTCGGAAGGCATTTACACCTGGTCTGTTCACGGTTATCCGGATATCCGATCAGAGAAAATGCATGAAGTGACCAGGAGTAAAGGTTGGAATACTTGACAAGAATTTTAAAATCTAAAGTGATTTTAAAACACTAAAGGCCATTGCACACTGAGTAAGAAATTCGCATTCGAGATCTTTGACCCCAGGTTGTCAATCACACTTGCAAACCGCCTCCGAAACTTCCGTCCGTCATAAAAAAATTCGGATCGGGTTCGATTTTCGGTGTTTTTCGCATCCACAGCCAGCATTTTTAAGACTTTTTTTAACAATTCAGGGCCGGGGGGAGCTTGTTCCGCACATGCGCATTCCTTTCAGTTTCGGTTTTCAATTAGCTCAAGTGTTTGTCAATAGGATTAGAAAAGGAATAAACCTCCCCTTTCAATCAGATCGAAATTTTGGATCAATTAGGGTGTGATTGAACGGCCAAATTTATAACTAATGTATTATTTGGGAACAATATATAACCTGTAGCCTATACAGCTGTTCTGTCTGCACAGCGCTTCCGCCGGGCCGTGTGTGTGTCCATACCTCAGACATACTGCCAGTCTCTGTTCAGGATCTATTGGTTCATGGAAATTGGTGGTCTTTTTAATATGTGGCTCCAGAATCTCGAGCAAAGCACCAAACTGTTCCACTGACATTCTGAAGTAAATTTTGAATCGCTCAGGATAAATTCACAACTCCTTGATAAGGAGGTGGATCTCTCCTTCCTCTCGGCGCAATTTCAGGATTGGATGGACCCAATATTTTCTCCTCTCTTTTCAATAAGAGAGAGGGCAACAAAATTATCCTCACTGCTTGACGAATCCTTTTGTATTTTTGTGCGTTTTTTCCCGCAATGGTTTAATAAATACGCATCGGACTCAGTGTGCAAGGTTTCTGTGCTCGACAAATTTTTAGGCTGACGAACACGAAAAAACGCATATGAAAATATCGGACTCAGTGTGCGATGGCCTTCAGTATCATACACTTGCTGACTATGTAAATGATTACAGAATGCAGAAATGCAGAAACATGCTGCTAGGAGATGCATGACAAATGAAAACAATATTTAAAATTGGCTCAAAATGTCAAACAAGATTCATATCCTCAGACTGGATGGATTCAAAGCTAATATTAACATGCAAATCAGGGAAAATATCTGTGCAAAAGTCATGTGGTGTACGTCAGCCAACTGTTTTCTTACAACTGCCTTGTTTTGCTGAATACATAAACTTTAATAATTAAAAAAGAAAGCAGAAAGCTAGTCAAATCAATATTGTGAAATCGCTCTGAAATACAAAGCTGTGCATGTTCTACAAGGGACAATGTAGATAGATTCATCGTCAACTATCCTTTTTAAAAGTAGTTTTACAATATTTACCCAAATGTGTCCATTCATGTCACTTTTTATACATTAACAAGCTAATAAAATCCTTTTAAGGTCACGTAGTCTACTGTGTACCTGAACACTTCTGTTGTTCAGTGATTCATCAAGTGCTATAGCCAGCTCCATTGCTTTCTTCTGTGTTGAAGGGTCTAAATAGAACATCATTTTGGCAGCTGTGAAGGAAAAAAGAGAAGAAAATGCATTATGGAAAAGTAGTAGACTAAAAAAAAAAAGCCGTGTGAGTAGGGCTGCACGATTCTTGCTAAAATGTGAATCACGATTTTTCTCCATGGGAATTGAGATCTCGATTCTCTTACACGATTCTCTTTTTTTTTTTTTCCATCCAAAATGTATTGCACTCAAGTAAAAAAAATAAAAAAAATAAAAAACACAAGACAGTCTAATAAAGTGCAGTAACAAAAAAAAATCTAAATTGTTTAAGCTGGTTCTTTGGGGCTAGCCTATGTAGCTGTCTGTGTATTAGTCATGAACTAAAAGTAAGTGTAGGCTATATTTAATATTTTCTGGCTAGTTTACTATAGCTTTTTTTATAATCAGACATCACACTTTCACCCAAACTGAATAATTACAAACAAGTTTAAATGGGTAGCCTAAATCTTCTATAAATATTTGAGTCTTCATATCTAAAACTCTCCAAAATGCTCTATGTGAAACTGCGGTTTTCCAAACTTTCGTGTTGTTTGAAGACCTCTCTCTCTCTCTCTCTCTCTCTCTCTCTCTCTCTCTCTCTCTGCCCTTTCAAGCGCAGCAGTTTCTATTCTACATCATCACTCGCCGATCAAACTAGGCTTTGGCGGGACTAATATGTGCTAAAGCGGCCTCCAAAAAGCAGACGATCTGACGGTTTTAGAAGATTAACAAACTGAAATTAAAAAAACAGACCCGCCCTATTTGAGACGAGCTTTTATTTACCCAAACCTGCAGCCACACAGGCGTGTAAAAGATACAGGCGTCTATGGGACTCGACTATTATTTTTATATAAGTTTTAAGGTACTTCAGTTCTTGGTAAAACTGACTAGACATTGTGTGAAACTACTTTTTGAGTGAAATCATATTAATTTTGTCCCTCAAAAGTGTGCTTTCACTTTAATTGAGCGCGCGTTTCACTGCTGCTCACGCGCTGCCCCTGCGCCCGGTGAATACTTTGATTAACATGCAAGCCCAAAAAAAATATGCGCTGCTCACGTGCAACAACTTTAATTTAGACATTCCCTGATGAAACGTCCGCATGATTGATTTGTGAATTATTGTTTTGTTTTTGTGTGAGTGTGACCAATATAACGCGTGAATGCAGCATGATCTGAATGCAGGGAAATACACGGAAGTGAATCGCCATCATTAAGAAAGGAGATCGCATTTATGTTTGAATCGAGATCGTGATTTTTTTTCGATTAATCGTGCAGCCCTACGTGTGAGTATGAAGTGTTGAGCATGTGCACCTGCTACTCGGTGAGGGATGGAACTGGAGTGCTTGGTGAGGAAGGCCTGATTGAAGCTCTTAGCATTACTTTCCCCAAACAGCCTGGAGATTTCCTGCTTGAGCACCATGCAGACCGATTCTGCTAGGTCTTTACTTTCGGACACTGTAAGCCAATCAAAATGAACACATTACTGACCAAACTTAACACACGGAGGTGAAAATGGTGTCGGAAGCAACAGATAAGTCAAAAGAGTGGTCAATTGATTGAATGTAAAAGAACACTCTGGGTTCACTCGCCTCCTTTAAAGAAGCGCACTAGACACTGGTGAAGCCAAGGGTGGTCCGGGTCTAT